AAAAATAAAAAGATATATCATAAAAAAAAAAAAATTATTTGTTCATTCTCATTTGATATTTTTATGTCCGATAATTGGACATAAAGCTATCTTTTTTCTTTCCTTTTTTTTCTTTTCTCTCTTTCTTTCTTTCTCTAATTTTTTCCCACTCCAATTCTCTCTGCCCGAGTTTTCTCTGTACTCCTTCATCTTAATTCCCACATAACATGTATTAATACACATGATAAGGAATAATTGGGTGAAAATGGTTTGCCTAACCATTATATAAATATAGTTGACTAAATAAACAAATTAGAGTAGAGGAATAAGAAAGAGAGAAAAGAAAAAAATGGAAGAAAAAAGATAGCTTTATGTCCAATTATCGGACATAAAAATATCAAACGAGAATGAACAAATATTATTTTTTTTTTATGATATATCTTTTTATTTTTAGTGCTCAATTCTCGATTTCGTTCAAGTTCGTCGGTGCTCGTAAATCTGGTGTGCTATAGATTTAGAGACGTTTGCCGTTGTATCTTTGCGGAAGTTACGCCTAACCGTTAGCAGCCACACGGGGCGTATTCTTCTTGCGGAAAGAGTTTTTACTCGCCTCGGCTAATATCTAATATCTTTCCGTGTTTCAGTTGTATTTTATTTTTCAGTTCAATTGTAATTTTCAATTTTTATAGATTATTTGTAAGAACTGAAAAATACTATCAGTTCGTAGGATTCCCGTGTATTTTGATACAATAGTTCCAACACTCCCAACACACTCTCTCCCGAAAAAAAAAAGCAGGTCCATCATTGCCTTCTACCGGTCGCCGGCGATCGTCTCCGGTGTTGATATCGAGAGTAAGAAGCCCGGTTTTAGTGACGTTCGTTTGTCGAAGGATAAGAAAGGATTGAAGAGGGTGAGGAGGTTGAGACGTGGATTGGTTGATGGGCAGAGTAAGAATTGTGTGAAACAGAGGAAAAGGATGAGGAGGTGATGACTGATGAGTGTGTTTTTTTGCAACTGTTGATAGAATGGTCTAAAATTAATTTTATGCTCTAAACTTTAGATCTAGGCAACTTTTTTGGCATGGACGGTTTTACTGGTCATACTATTTGTCTAAAATTGTGTACTTTGATGTAAAATGTCATAACTTTTGTTCCTTTTTTTTTTTTCTTTTCTTTTTTAATATAGCATCTCCCATAAAAAATGAAAAATAGTATATTTATTGAAATAGTATATCAAGGTTAAACTTGTCTCACAGTATCACATCGGTTTGAATTCGCCCAAGAGACGGCCTATGGTCCCAATATGAGTCCGCCGGAGAAGAGATGAGATATCGTCCCGGTTTGAGTTCGTTGAGAATGGAACTCGACGCAAATTAATATGTCCTATCAGCCGAAAACTAGTTTTCAAATACATATAATTTACACGGCGTCGTATAAAGAAGTGCACTTTATAAAACAATATGTTGTAATTTATAAAAGGCAATATGGCGGGAATTAACACGACCTTTACGCGTTTGGCAATTTAATCACGACCTTCAAACCTTGTCAGAAAAATACATGACCTTTACAATTTTGGCAACCCGATACATACTTCTAACTGCCGTCAACGGAAGTGTGATGTGGCAATTTAACTTGACGGAAACACCAAACGAGCGTCCGAGTCAGTTTCCAGGTGGCAATAACCCTAGTATAAAAGACGCTTCTTCCCCAAATTCACCGCAATCGTTGATTTTTCCCCAAATTCCCTTCTCGATTTTTCATTTCCAAACCCTAGGTTTTTTATTTCCTCCAAAATTACAAGGGTGTGTCTTCCATATGTTCGTGACGATTATCGTGAGCATACACAAGAACTTGTTAACATCATGGTCGCAAGGTAAATGCCTTTTCAGAGTTGAAATGTTCAATTGATTTTAGTTTTTTTAGGGTTCGAATTGGTAAAAATTTTCGATTTTTTGAATTTGCAGTGATTTCTTTATGGTAGATTTGTCACTCTCGAAGGGCATGAGTATTATTATGGTGATTTTGTTGCCACGGTTACTGGGTTGGATGCAGATAGGCTAGGTTATTTTGACATCGAAGATCAAATAAAGAAGCTGGGATATGAAAACTGGGGTAGAATATGTTATAAGCATCGGACAACACATGAGTTTCAGGATATAAAAGATGATGCTGGTGTTATGGCATGTTTGGGTCAAATGCAGAGAAACGGAAGATATGTTGAAATATTTGTGCAAACTGAACAACTGAACAAACCGTCTGTGGTTTCTAAAGTTGCTGTTGTTTGTCAACAAGAAAAGTCAAATAGGAATAGGGTACCTGAAGTTGCTGCTGTTTGTCAACAAGAAAAGTCAAATAGGAATAGGGTATCTGAAGTTGCTGAAGTACACCAAGCAAAGGATACTAGTGAAAAGCTGGGTGAGTTTGCTTTAGATGAAAGTGAGGATGAGGAGTATGAACCATCTGGTGAATCTTCAAGTAATGATGGTTTGTCTGATGAAGATTTAGGGACAGATGATGAGGAGTATCTTCAGGCTAGGAGAGAAGCTTTGAACTCCAGACAGTCAACAGATGATGGAGATGCAAACATGTCATTTGCACAACCATCTTCACATCATGAGGCTGATGACAACAATATACCTGCAAGAGATAATGAGTCAGAATATGAAGATTCTGAAGGGAATGTCAACACTGATTCATCTAGTGGTGATGGTCTTGGTGATGATGATGATGAAGCAAGGCCTAAGAAGAAAAAAATAGTTTATGATGGAAAAGGAGATCTGCAGACCTTCCAATTTCAGCTTGGGATGAGATTTGAAACCATTGGGCAATGTAGGAATGCAGTTCAGAATTATGCAATTTATAATGGCTGCAACATAAGTTTTGTCAGAAGTAGTTCCAGTCAGATTGAAGCTAGGTGTGAAGTTGGTTGTCCATGGAGGCTTTATGCTAGTCTGATAAAAGGTGAAGGTAGTGTGGCTGTGAAGACCTTTGTTAGTAGCCACAGCTGCCATAGGGACTTGAACACTAAACAAGCAACTGCTTCTTGGGTTGCTGGGGAATATCTACCTATGATTAGAAAGAAGCCTAAGATGAAAATTTCTGACTTAGAGGATTCTATCAGTGAAAAATATGGTGTGCAACCCTCTAGGTGGAAACTGTACAAAGCAAAAACTAAGGCTCTTAAACTGCTTAGAGGTACAGAGGAGGAGCACTATGGAAAACTTAGGAGGTACATTGCAGAGCTTCAAAGGGTTGATAGAAATGGCACATTTCAGCTGAAATTGGAGAGTGGCAGTGTATTCAAATGTTTTTATGTAGGTTTTAGTGCACTAAGACAAGGTTTCTTGCAAGGCTGTAGGCCAATTATTGGCCTTGATGGGGCTTTCTTGAAGACCTTTTTAGGAGGTGTATTATTGTGTGCTGTTGGGAAGGATGGGAACAACCAGATATTTCCTTTGGCATGGGCAGTTGTGGATTCTGAGAATGAGAGCAATTGGAAATGGTTTCTAGACATACTTTTTCAAGATTTGGGGATATCAGATGGACTTGGATGGACATTTATCAGTGATCAACAAAAGGTTAGTTTTTATAATGCATTCTGTTCATATCCTTTTTGATAAATTGTAGAAAAAGAGAGGGAGACCAAGTACAAGGGAGCAACATGTGGAGTCTTCTGCAAAAGATTGGACTGTCACACCAATACCAGCAGTCCCAACACCAACAATCCCAACACCAACAAACCCAACATCAACCAACCCACCACCAGTCCCAACACCAGCCCTAATAGAAGCCCTAAGAGCACCAACAAAAGCACCACAAACACAAGCCCCAACAGCACCACCAACACAAGCCCCATCCACAAAAGCAACCACAAGCACAAGAGCAACCAAGGTCACAAGAGCAGCTTTAGCCACAAGAACAGCCCCAACTACTAGATCAGCCACAGCTGCTATGCAACAAACAAGGAGTTCTAGAATCAGGAGTGTTGGACAATCTTAACCTGTGCAAGCTATTAGGGCAAAAGGCAGAGCAATGGTAAAAGCTATTATTTTCTTACATAAATCATTATATCAGTTTATTAACTTATTTGTGTCTTTGCTTGTTTAGGCCAATAAAGGATTTGGTGTGAAGGTCTCTGAGCAGACAGGAGACATTTATATGAGGGTATGCTTCATTGTTACCATATACTTTTCCTGTACCAATTGCAGTGCATATTTCAGATATTAACTTTATTTGTTTTGTCCCACAAATTCTTAATCAGATGCCAGGGCAAAATAGAGCTCACTTTGTACCTAACAGAAGAGAAGGATCATCACCTGGACAAAAGAAACAAACATCCAAGAATTGCTCAAGAGATCAGGGGACACAAGAGAGTGTGTGTAATTTTAAACCTTCTTAGTTGTCATGGGGATGTATGCTGTGAACTACTGTTGTTTGGGTTTTGGGGGATGTATGTTGTGAACTACTGTGTTTTTTCATGTTTTCTGGTTTGATGTGGGATTGGAGCTGCAGTTTTTAGCAATGTATTATCTAAATTTGGATTTGGATTTGGATTTGATGTTTTGGTTGTGGAATTTGGATTGGATATGACTTTTGATTTTATAAGGATGGCACCAAGACTTTTGTTTTTAACATGGCTTCAGTTGGTGTTTGTTGAGGTTGTTTGGTATTTAAGATGCTTGTGCATATTGTTATGTGCTGATGATTGAATGTACCACATTTGTTTGGCTTATAGGATTTTTGTGCATATGACACCAACACACACTAAAATGAACTTACACAAAAACATAAACTGATTCAATATAAAATTTCATTAACAACCGAAATGAAGTTACAAAAAGGCAGCATACACTTAAATTCAGATAACAACATACATTGCAATTTCTTTAACAAAAGGTTGTCCTACACCAAGTTCATCATAATTGGTTCTATTAGACAAGTCTTGTACAGAAGGTTGTCAACCATTTTCCTCTTTACCAAAGAACAAAAGCAAAACAACAAATAACACAACTGACACACACACAATAGGATATCTGAATCTGTTTCTCTTGGACAAGACTTGTACTTGCTCCTCCAACTCATTTACTTTGGATTTAAGATACAATAGTTCATCTTCCTTCATTTTCAGCCTCTCAACCAATGCTACTTCAGTAACATCTCTGCATTTTAATTGCTCCTCCAATAATGCCTTCTCAGCCTTCAGTTTCAGAAAACATGATTTCTGAAATGGTCCAAGCTCCGGATCAACCCAAGAAAAATATGTACATGCATTCTTATACAGATAAGCAAGGATTAGAATTAGAACAAAACACAATAACTGAAAAACCATAAAACTAAGGCAAAAATTTTCAATTTTCATCTCATATGATAAACTGAAATTTCAAATTCCACTCGTTTTTTCTGTGTTCATTTCATCAAATTGAACTCGTCATTTGAAATTGAACTCAGCATTTCATATCAGAACGGCCACGCATGAAATTACAAAAACAAAGCCAAATTGCACTCACAGCGGCACGATTGTAGTCATATCGGCACGAAACTGAATAAAAAAAAAAATTGCAAAACGAAATCGCAGTCACCTGTATGTTGCGGCAATGTCGGAATCGACGACAAGGATTGAGGTCGGTATTTGACGTGAATATAACTGCTTCGTCTCCATGAAAACATACTGATTTCAATCTCCTTGAATCTGAGCTAGAAGATGACGACATTTCGGGGCAAATTGGGGTGAATTAGGGTTAGGGCAAAACGAATTGTGGTGAATTTGGAGAAAAATGAACGATTATGGTCAATTTGGGGAAGAAGCGTCTTTTATACTAGGGTTATTGCCACCTGGAAGCTCACTCGGACGCCCGTTTGTTGTTTCCGTCAAGTTAAATTGCCACATCACAATTCCGTTGACGGCAGTTAGAAGTATGTATCAGGTTGCCAAAATTGTAAAGGTCATGTATTTTTTTGACAAGATTTGAAGGTCGTGATTAAATTGCCAAACGCGTAAAGGTCGTGTTAATTCCCGCCATTTAGCCTTTATAAAACGATACATTGCAATGTATAAAACAAGCTACCGCACTCCACAATTAACGTCAACCGATCCCGCAAAAATACTACACAATGTAAATCTAATTTTAACATTCATCACATAAACTATCCACCAACCAAAAAAAAAAAATAAACAATAAATAAAATAAAAATACAAGCACTATAACGTACCAAAATTACAGCATTACACTTTATATATCAACATGTTTGCACTTTATATAACAAACACGTTGCACTTTATCACGACTATCAAAATCGTACAAATAGTGAACGAAACCGACCAAACTCAAATCTTTTTCAACCAAAAATAATATAAATATAATAATAAATTATTAACTTAGTAAACATCATCTTAATATAAATAACAAATTATCTCTCAACTAATGGGCCTTCCCTCGCCAACTGCACCGAACTCCATTACCGGCACCGCGGCTAACAAATGACGACAAATTGGCAGGATTTTTTCTTCCTTTTTTTTTTAATTAAACCCAATGACTTACATATTTAGCAAGAAACCCTTTCCATATCGAAATTCAAGCTAAGGTTCACCGTTGCAAGTTTCATCTACAAGAACTGTTGTAAAATGAAAAATGCACTCATATCAACTTCTTGGAAAAGTAATGCAAAGTTCACATTGAGAAAAGGCAAATAACTACAATAAATAAATAAAGCACTCATAATCACCTCAACTTGGCGTTGTAGGGATCGCACATAATTGGTGATCTCATCCAACATTAAAAATCACGAGTTACTCTGTTGCAATAGGTTTTGTCTTCTCCCTGTTTCCCAATGAAAAGTTATCCATACAGACTGAATAAAGGGGTGATTGGATATAAGTTATTATGGAGAGGATACAAATCAAGAAAATTATCCAACAAAAAATTCTAAACTAAAATGTCAACTTTATTTAGCACTCACTTTGAAACCCTAGCTTGTAGACAGGAAGGACCTAGCTTGGAGATGTTGGCTAGTACATGATGGTGCAAAAGGTCGAGGACTTGATCGATTGGCGATGAAGCTCCTTCGCCTTCTCCTCCGTGAAGCCATTGCAAAATACTTTCTTATATGTTTCGCTTCGTGCTATCCCCGGCCGCGACTCCTTACACGCCGGCTGCTCCTCATCGTTGGTCGTAGGATCGATTGTAGAGCTTTGGTCTTGGAAGCGCCTCCCTCCTCCTGATAAAGAAAACCAAAGCAATAAATCATCACTTTTATATACCAGTCAGTATCCTATCACAATCTCCTCTCTTTGGCGCCCCCTAACCATTATCTCAAAGAAACTGATTTCTTCTTGGTCATGTAGATAAAATTCTCCCGGCTTTATGCACATCTCATTTTCCTGCATATGGAGTCAAAACGTTTTCTCTCAGGTAGCTTTTCTATTAGTTAAATATTTTTTCAAAGAGAGATGGAGAAAAAAAGTACCTTTTCTGCAAAAGTTCTTCTAACATATGATGGATTTGTTTGTCCTCTGCCACCATGGTTAGAGCCATGCTTACCAGCTTGTTTGATAGTACATAGTCGCTAATCCTAGTCACAGACACAAGATTTCTTGTTGTAGAATCCAATATCTCGCTTATAATTATGGACTTGTCTGAAGCTTGCTGCATTCTCGAATCCATGAACTTTGGGAAAAACCGGAAGCCTTAGAGAAGGGGACTTAGCGTCTCTACAAGGAAGCTGCTTTGACTGCAGCATGACAGATGTTTTAATTAGTTTTGACAATGCCACTTTCTTTTTTCTCTACCCATCCATTATGAAAATCAAACATGAAACAATAATCATAGTTTTCTAGATACAATTTGAAGTAGTGGAACCTTTTTTTTTTTTTTTTTTT